ATCGCCGTTTGAACTTGTGCATGACTTTCCTCATGACTTCCCCCTTGCGTAACAATGCGAAAAATCAGCCTTCCAGGTAGTTGTTGTATCCGAGTCTGAAAGGCGACCCACTAAAGACTTTCATTAACCAGTAACATCACAGTCTCAGTAGTTCCTGGTGACGATAAAAGTGGTCCTTCATACCCTCTGAACTCTGCAGTCACTGGGGGGCATAAACAGAACATTGAAAATGCACGATATCCTCAGAACGGTTTGTTATTTACCCGCAATAGAGTTTCGAGTCCAACAGCACCATATTCGGCTATTGACTTGCAGCTTCAGTTAGAGTAGATTGCATTCTGCATGATTGCTGAGGGCGATACGGTAGCATATAACCTTGAGCTATTTACTTCGTAATCGACAGAGCGCGCTTAGATTGTTTATCGTTGTCAGCAGATTCGTCATCGAGCGGTTATCTTGTAATGTGTTTCGGAGGCAGACACAACACCACCATCGAGGGAGTGTATACGTGAGCGTTAGTGCTGATCGCTGTTGGACCGCATCTGAAAAGTGCCTGGATACGTTCAAATGAACCATTGAAGTAATGGAGAATCTCAGGTTCGATTCTAGCCTTAGTTTACGTGGCACTAAGTGAACAGTACCTTGCGCATATTTTACGGACTGGGGTGAAGAAGAGTGGTGACGGATAGTGGTGGATAAGTTGGTTGGACACTGCGACTGGTTCGAGAGGGCAAGATTCCTATACTCTCCAGCTGACGCCATATTCACGGACAGTGGGTTGTTGGTTGTAGGGGGCCCTACAATTTAGCCGTTTTCACTCACAGTCCTGACGAACAGACAGCAGGTCACGTATATGGAGTGTTCCCTTGAGTGCGTTCCAAAACACAATCCCAGACCATTTGACCCCACAATGTAGTAGGTGAGGGGTAGTCCCCAAACATGGAAAAGCGGAGCTTAGCTAGTGATCCTCACCATTAGGGAATCCTTGCTTTGAGGCCTGATCAGATTGCAGCCTATATTGAGAAAACCTAGGCAAATCAAGTGTGTACCCACGGGCAACCGCATGTGGGGATATGAACGGGTTGACCACCTATTTATCACCAGGTAGTTGCCTCTGATAAATAGTATATTCGAAGCGTGGCGGTAGCAAACCCTCTAAAAAAAAAGCACTCCGCGTGGTGGCACACCTCCCCCGAATCAACAGTGACAATGCGTGTGCAATTCCCGCTCTAACGCGCACTACGCCAATATCAGCTGTGAGTATATTCCTAACACCCTGTTGTATGATCCCGTGGCTGTTCTACATAAGGAAAAGGGATCATGGACCACCTAACATACCAAACCCTCTGAAAGTAGGATTGTTGAGACTGGAGTTAATCCGACGCTCGAGACCATTGAGCACCTTTAAGGTATGGAGCAGATACCTAAATGGCCCCTAGACAGTTGTTCAACCGAGCGTGCAATGTCCTCAAATAGGTCACAAAAAAGATAAAGGCACACTATCCGTCCTCAAAATGAAAGTACCAGGTGCAGTCGCGTGCGTCGCCATGGGCTTCGTTTCTCGGCCATGTCGCTGTTGTACTATGTAGTATCAGTCTGAGACTTGCTTACGCTTACGAGATCAGTTTCCACTTTTCTGACATACTACAAGTTATTGAGGATAATAACACTTATTTCGCAAATGTTCTCAATTGTTCGACCGCTGCGCATCTGAAGGATTCAGTTCTCATACGTACGGTGACTATACGTATGTAAGATACTCTTCATACGAAACCACATATTCTACATCTATAGGTTCGAAAGGTAGACCCTACAGTTCTCTATAGTCGAACGTGACCTACGTCACTGTTTCGGGATGACGGGTTGTTCTGAGCAAACAAAAATGGCATTGCCACGTGGAACAAGTAATTCAAACAAGGCAACAAAAACTGAAGCACGATGTCACTGATCTGGAGCATACTCAACGTCGGGGTTTCCAAGTGCGTCATTGGAACGCGTAATTTGCCATCTGATAAGAGGCGAAAACACGGGCATTACTGATTAGCTGATAATCTGCTAAGGCTTAGATTGTTCTGAGTTAAACTAATCATGTGCGCCGCTATTTACTGCAGTTTAGCAATAACGCCTAACTGAGATCATTCCTTGAAACTGGCAGAATAGTATAAACGCCCCGAGTGTTGCGGAATTCTTTTTTCTGTTCGCGTGTGTCGCCCCTGGTAAAAGACCACATTCGATCTGTTTCGCAACAATACAAATCATGTGTGAGAACGGTTGGAGGAACCACTCAGGCACTTACATGTCTTAGCAACCGCAATGGGAACCATGACGCAAGGATATGAAATATTCCCCAGGAGCAAGCTCAATCGAACAACGGCATAACAAAGGCAATAGGCGAGCGAAACCTCGGTGAGGATGCCAATGTGCACTGCGCGCACACTCATCCTGATTCGAATCGCTACATCCATCAAACGTGGACCTTTCAATATTGCGCTCAGTGAGCATGCGACACCCCGAACCACATTGCGGTCCACACGCTCTCCACGTCCCTCCGGTGTCACTAGCCCAACTTCCATGCAAGCTGATCATCTATAGCGATATTTGCGAGCTACTTCATGTCATTATTCCCCAGGGCCAATGCATCCGCACTAATTCACATGGGTGCCTCGGACAGCTTAGCGATGAAATGGGCGGACACACCGCGCAATCATATTTCACGTATAAGTGGAAATGCTTGAAAGGTTAAGTGCCAAACACCATGATCACTCGTGACTGCTAAGCCCAGATGGCCCGATGTGAGTTTTGCGAGTATACCCCCTAGCATGTGCGTAGTTTCAGTGTAGCCAATCAAGCCTGAATACGAGTCTCGAGCGCGACTGGGCACTCACCAAATCGCACGCGATCTGCGCCGCCCCCAAACATCTCTGGTAACTCATGTCGTAAACTAGTCTGATATGCCATTGGTTGAGTTGGGATTGGTCACCCAACGAGTGGGGCGTTTTGGTTCGTTTGCGCCAGGTGGATGATATTTGATTGCGTTAAGGCGAGTTCTGAAAGATGTATGGCCGAAACCTATTTCCTTAACGCTAAGTTTGAAAGCGTTATGGAGGCAATTAACTGAGAAAAGGTGTAGTCGTAACAGGCACTGACTTATTATGTTCTAAATAATACATTGAGAAGACTGGTATTGCAATATTAAACCATTTCGAGTTCTCTGCTCACTCGCAGTCTGATACCTTCAATATGAATCACATGAGAGAAAAAGCGAAGGTTTTGAATTGGTCACAAGGGGAAATAATGTAGACGCAAGAGCAGCTCGACGAGCTTGACCTTAGGGTCATGATCCCCGAGGAAGCTATAGGCCGTTAATTGTTTCTGTACACAAAGGATATGGCGATGCCGGTCAAATGCCACAGCTTCGGCGAACGTCAAATTTTTGGGGTTTTCATTTCGATAAATAACTCTAAATGTTGTCCCAGGGTCCACCTAATAACCTGTTTCGATTAGATGTCTGGCGATAAATGATGCCGGCAGCTTAGATACTTTTCCTTGTTCGGCCGCTTATTGTATTGATAGCTTAGCAATCCGGCATAATCTATCGCCAGACATCTAATCAAAACAGGCCATGAGGTTGACCCTGGGTCAACATTTTCAGTTATTTATCGGAATGAAAACCTTAAAGTTTTGAGGTTCGCCGAAGCTGTAGCATTTAACCGGCCTCGCCCTATCCTTTGTGTACAGAAACGATTAATAACCTCCCTAAAGCTTCCTTGGGTCTCCTGACCCTGAAGTCCAGCTCGTCGATCTGTTATTCTTGCATCTACGTTATTTCCCTTTGTGACCAGTTTAAACCTTAGTTTTTCTGTCACTTGATTCTTATTGAAGTTGTCAGTCTGTGAGTGAGCAGATAACACGGAACGGTTTCATATTGCAATACCAGTTTTCTCATTGTCTTAGAATGATAAAGAGAACTCAGTGCTTTAGATTTCTTATGTGTTGATTTGGAGCATTCGTTGCGAGACTGGATTGCGTAATGCGATCCCAATTCGGACTACGAGTTAATCTGAGATGACGGTCGGTCATTCTCATCACCGGGGCTGTCTGCGAAAGGGGAATTTTGCGCGTAACACAACCTAGTACGATCGCGACGCAAAAATACCTAATACGATCAATAATCGCGCTTCGGTGGGAACAGCTGAATGGGTGAAATTTGATGCGGTTAAAATTGAGACGGAAGTTAATTGACTTTCCAAATACTTCGCACAGCATCAATCCGAAATTAATCAGAAGGATCAGCTTAGTTAAGCACAATAGCTTGACAGGTTTTTGTCAGAAGTAGCTGGGGGTTAAAGCATATAATTCACCTGACTATTTTATCTGAAGTACTACGTGAAAAGCTGCGAATATGAATCAGCATGATCCAACATTTGAAGAAAAATATTCGGACCTTTGGTTTAGCGACGGAATGAACTAAGTTCAATGAAGGGACAATATTTATCTATATACAATTCAAATTGTATTCATATAGGTCGAGCCTAGACAAATTTCACTGGACTCACTAATGATAACGGTTCGCTAATAAGTTGGAGTTTACATGGTCTAGAGTAAAATCATCGGTTTCCATCTTTTCGTCTAGCAACTCGGCGAACAACGCAAATGTCTGAGAAACAACAAGTTCGAAATTGTCTAAATCCTTAGATGATGACTCGTCAAGTGGTAGATTGAGATGTCGGGACAGCCATTCGTCGAGGGACCGAAAGGAACAGACGAAACGATGCAGTGAGGTAGTTCGCTGAAATCATTTTAACAGCTGGCAGGGACAACTGCCCACACGGGGCCATGGTCGCTTGAAGTAGGGATTACATCGCTCTCTGTTCGAAGAAAAAGGGGTAAAGAATACTCTTATGCTTGATTTAACCAAAGCATGGTAAAAACGAAGCCGTAAACTGAAATATGCTGCCTTCGAGGTACTCCTTGCACGAGTTATAGGATGTAAGTTGAGGTTAGTAACGGAGACCAAGGGACTCGTAAGCGGGGCAAACGTCACCGTGACTCTGATATGTAAGGAAAATATAAGCGAAAGGTTGTCAAAATGCAACAAAGTGTAATACTCAAGATCGGGAGAAATCCGGAGGTTGGAATGGATATATATTGAGCAACACGCAGCAAACCATAATAGAGAAAATAATGTTATAAAAAAGAAAATAAACGTTACAGTCAATCTTCTTCTGCTTGCACTTCTTCCGCTAAAGCGCACGACCAGGTTTTTGCAAGACAAAAGAGACCGCAGCGTGAGCACCAGTTCAAAGTCAAGCAACGCGCCACGACAGTTTCTGTTCCACACTATACCAAATCCCCATGACAATTTTAGTAATGTTTGCTCAGTTGCAACGTCGATTTACTGTGTTTGTTTAAATGGACGTAACAAACGCCTCACAATCTTATTCCTTCGGCTTGACACAGTATATGGGTGTGTGAGTGGAACTGTGAGTGGTGCAGCTCAAACCACCCATGGTCCCTCTGTAGGAACTGATGTCTTGTGGCTGTCATCGTGAAAGCCACAGTGACAGGTGAATCCGGCTAAGGATGCCGCCAATTTATCTCACGTAACTGGTTGAATAGATAGGCTTGTTCTTTAGGACGATGAAGAGAGTGCAATACGCATCAGTTGTAGCAGCAGTGGATCCGCTTGAGAACATCATAAGATGGATTGGAAAGTTAAAGAGAATCATAACAGGTTAACATCGGTTTACATATGCTGAAGCACAACGAGGTCCAATTCGTTTGGGAAACGCTAGAAATGGGCGTTCACTCGAGCCATAAGGGATTCCAGATAGCGATCCAAATCGCTAATGCAGTCAAGAACATTAGCTGGCAACAGAAAGGGTCTAACAAGTAACCGCGATATGGAATCCGTTAGCATCGTGAACTTTGTCACGGGATAATTAACCATCTTTCAAATGACAGCCCAGTGTAAGATAAAGAGCACAGCATTGAGGACATGTTATGCGATCGGTTACCTGTCAGAAGTACCACTCCAGAGAAACCCCGAATGAACGGAGTCACTAATGATCATTTCGAGCACAAAATTGTAATGTTAAGGTGATATAAGACAAACCTGACGAATCACACTTTTCGGAGTGAACTCAGGAGACGGCCTACCCGTAGACCATTACCCAGACTTGTCAGTCACGGTAGAGACTTCAGAATGGAAAAATATTTATCTGGTCTGTCTTTCATAGATTGGAAATGATACAAGATGACTCGATCAAAGCGGCTTTCAAGTCAAGGAAAACCACCATCGTCGGTCGTCTGTAAGTGGAGCCCTGATATAACTAATGACGGAGAATAAATATGTTGTAGGTGCAACCACGAACAAGGTGGAGGCCATCCTAGGT